TTACCATGTAACATTAATACCATTCGGCTGTTGAAGGAAACTCATGGTTGTAGACGTTAATTCCTTTTGTTTATTAAATATTATGGCCATTTAAGGAGGAAAAAAAACAGAAAAAAAAGAACAAAAAAACAGAAGAAAAGTATTGTCGTGCTCTAGAAGGGTTGCTCTTGCCGACATCTCAGTTTTAAATGAATGAAATGAAAGAAAAAAGAACTATGTCTTTAAAACGTCGGAAAGAATAGGTGTGTGTGAGTGTAAAAAAAGAAACTTTCTTTGCTCTTCGTTGTATCACTGTTATGTGACACGGTTAGATAATAATAGTAATAATAATAAGTAATTTACCTTAGAAAAGATGACTTCAGGTATTAATAAATATTACAAGCAAATACCAAAAACAAATATAAATGAAAATTCTTTTGAATATTTAGATGTTCATTACAAAGTCACTGTGCAAACTGGAGAAATAGGAACGAGTGCTAATGTTTCGATTACGATATTTGGTGACAATGATCAAACACCTAATTTAGCGTTAACTGGAAAAGAAGGTGATGATGTAGTGTTTGAAAAAGATGGATCGAAAGAATTTGATCTTCAATCGGTGGACGTTGGAAAGGTAAGATATCTAATCAAATTTGATAAGATATGATGGTCTACACGTCTATGCTAAATTACAGATTACAAAAATTAATATTGGCCATGATGGAAAAGGAGAGGATGGCGAGTGGTATTTGAACACGATTAAAATTGAAAAAGATAATAATCAATACATGTACGTATAACGTCGTACTTTCTCCTAACATTTGCAGAATTTTTTGAGTTTTCCACTACTGGTTTAAACGAGTTTATGTGAATATAGTAGTATTTCAGAAAAAACTTATGTAGCAGTAACTCGATTAAAAAACAGCGAAGTATTCAATACAACTATTGAACAGGCGTTAGATGTTGTATGACGAACCGGACCCAATAATCTAGAGCGTAGAACATTGACTCGATTTTCCAATCAGATATGAAAGATCCGTACGAATCCTAGAGATACTGTATTTTATATCTCTAGCATTGTGAAAATTATTAAATAATTTTTGAAACTCTGTCTAGATTTAAAGCAGACCGCTTGTTGAGTGATGAAAAAAATGATAAAAAGACGAATATTGACCTATTTCCAGGTTAGAAACAAGTTTTTCTAAAATTTTTCAAGTCATATTTGAGAACATAATATTGTAGAAGATACTGAAAACGAGCGTACACAAACTCCGAAACCAATAACTCCAACACCGACACCGAAAAAAGGTAAAAGAATGATATAAAATGAGACAAAAGTCTATATTCTGTCATCAAAAATGTGTTACCGAAATATTTTTTGATTTTTTGTAGATCAATCTCAGTATAAAATCCTCATCAAAACGAGTGCAGTAAAAAATGCTGGTACTGACGCCAATGTGGGAATTACGATTTTTGGTGATAAGGGAGAAACATCGCAGCTTCCACTAACGGATACAAAGCAAGGAAAAGTGGCATCATTTGAAGAGAATACAACAAATGAATTTGAGATCGAGGGAGATGATGTTGGAAAGGTATGAGTCACTGTGCTAAATCAACTACGAGCAAATTCAGTGTAACTTATACTTCTTTAGATAAATAAAATCAATATCGGTCACAATGGAAAAGGAACAGAACAAGCATGGCATTTGAGTTTAGTAGAAATTCACAAAGGAGGAGATAGTTACAAGTAATTTGAAACATATTTGATGGAAGAGATAATAGTAGTAAATTTTTTATCATCTTTTTTTTAGGTTTACCGTTAACAAATGGTTAGATGATGAACAGGGCGATCAAAAAACGTATATTGATCTTACACCTGATCCTGCTGGTAGGATTTTAATAGTCATGTAAAGCAAAAACGAGCATCGACGACTTATATTTGTGTTCTGTTCTAATAGGTAAAGCTGCCAGTGCAAAATCAAAATCAATCAGAACAGATTCTCCACGATTAACACCGCAGAATGGAAACGAACCTGTCAAATCACCTCTCCCACAAAAATCTGAGTTATCTAAGAAAAAAGAAACGCCAAGACCAGGCACACCGCCAACTACAGAGAAGAAACCTGCACCAGGTAAGAAATAATCTTAGAACTCTAAATACTATCTCTTCATTATAACAATGGTAACATTAATATATTATAGCACCGTCAAAACCAAAAATTACTGGTAAGAAGTTGTATGATATTATTTATTGATGTACCACATAGTAATCAGTGCAGTTTTAAATATTGTCGTTATCTTTTGGAAGAAAAAGTAATTCCAGTTTGTCTTTCTTTTTTGATTAAGAATCTTCATATCAGATTACAGTGAAAACGGGTGAAAAACAAGAATCTCATCCAGAAGCAACTGTCTCTTTGATCATTAACGGTGATCAAAAACAGACCGAAAAACTCTCACTTAATCAGACAAAAAGTAATAATGCAGCATCATTTGCAAAAAGTTCAACTGATGAATTTGTTATCAGTGCCGTGGATGTTGGATCTAAGGTAGTACGCAGTGAAATGGAATACTCATAATCTGAGATACATATGGTATGCTGTTATCTTAGATCAAGTCAATTTCGATTGGCCACGACTCGAAAGGTTTTCCAGATGGATGGTATCTGGATTTTGTTAAGATAACGAAAGGAAACACTGAACTTTTGTACGTTGTTAGCGATCAATAGATACAACGAGATGATGAACTAACTGTATTATTGCCTTATAGATTTAAAGCAAATCAATTACTTGATGAACGAGAAGGACGTACTTACATCGATTTATATCCAGAATCATCATCTTCACCAAAGAAAATAAAACAACAAGAACCAAAATTACATGTCATAAATAAAATTGTTGAGAAAGTCACGAAAGGTAACATTTTTAACAAAAATAAAATTATATAAAAAAAAGTTAAC